TCCCTGAATCCACACTCCCAAATTTCCACTCCTTCATGCAATCCTTCTACCACCGTCTGTCCACTACCTCACAAATGATCCTCCTAGCCCTTGGTATAGGACTAGAGCTTCAAAATCCCTCCTTACTTGCGGATTTCCATTCCGGTCATACCAACCAACTACGACTCCTTCACTATCCTCCCATTCCCGCTTCTGAAATCGAAACCGGACTTGCGGTAAGACTACCAGCCCACACTGATTTTGGAAGTATCACCATGGTATTTCAAGACGAGTGTGGAGGATTGGAAATCGAGCATCCGAAGAAACCTGGTGAATTCATCAGGGCGGATCCGGTTCAGAATGCCATTGTGATGAATATAGGTGATCTACTTATGAGATGGACCAATGGTATTTCATCCTTTCTTCATTTTTCTCTCCCCATTCCTATGCTCTTATCGTATGATGTATAATCACCAACATGTTTACGCACATAGATGATCTCAAATCCTCACTCCATCGCGTACAACTCCCCCCCTCAACCTCTCGCTACACAATCACCAAGGAAGGAATAAGAATGACACAAGCGCGTTATTCGATCCCATATTTCTGCGGACCGGATACAGATAAATCGATAGAAGTTCTTGAGGAATGTGTCAATGAGGGAGAGAGAAAGAAGTACGAACCGATTGTGGTAGGAGACTATTTCAAAATGAGAAGCGCGTTAGCGTATCAGAGTTAAATTGAGGCATAAGAATCTTGAGTGAGAGATTAGGGAATGACGGGGAGACGATGTACGAGTTCTGATTTTCTGCGATGGTGGAATTGCTTGTTTTGCTAGCGCCAGGTAATTTTAGAATCAAAACTGTAAAAAATCGAGTGATCAATAGGTACTTATAAGTTTAATAATTCCCTTCTCTTCTGAATGAATCCCAAGACTTATTAGTAATGCTTGGACTGAATGTGTTTACTTGCATTATTAGTATGACACAAAGAAGAAACTCCAGATACAACTTTCTTATCACCAATACATGCACCACTCTGTCTCTCGGTACCCGGGCTATGTACTCGAACTACCACGATCTTGTCTAGAAGATCATGATATCTCTCCATCAAATCAAGTCTAGACGCACGCCAGATGACCTGTGTTACACATCAATAAGAGTATGTCTTTCCGTAGAATAGAGATGGTACTAGAAATGCCCGACTTGGTCTTCTAATAATATACCCAATGTTATAGCACATCAGATGTGCTTGCGCGATGCTGGGTTTCCAAAAATTACTGTCTGCATTCTCAGCCGAGGGGTTGCAATTTACCTTCACTTGCGATTATGCCTCCAAGCGTGAGAGATTTGGAACAAAAGATTAATTGGGAGCTTAAATGTACTTATGTATGTAAGATCCAGATATAGATCACATTCTTATCTACTTGTTCTAGCTAGAGGCTACGTAGAGGTATGTATCAGCAGCCGAGACGATTGCAAGATCGATATGATATTAAGCTGTTTCCTTCTTGAATTGAAACATCAGCTCCTCCTTCTTCGCGGCGTAGGCGTCTTTCAATTGGTAGATATTTCGATTTCTCCTTCCCTATCCAAAGTCTGGAGATCCTTCACCTACGATGTCGCGTCTGGCTTCTTCAGATCTACACAATAAAGTGTCCACAATAATAGTGACGACAAAAGATTCCGATAATCGAATTGCAGCGCCTGATATGGTTGAGTTCAGGATGCGTCGCCTCCGGGGATGAACGTCTCGGTTGACTGTATGAATTGCCAGAGTGCCCAGTTGATCTTTTCTCTCGAAAATGCCTGGTAAAATCTACTTTTCTTTAATGATAAATTGCGAAGTAATAGAAAGATGGAAAGATAATCTAGCTTACGATTTGGAGCAATGAGAATTCATTCTGAAGCCGGCCATGGAGCGTTAACAGTCACAGTTAACACAAATCTATATCAAGGACAAACATAATCAAAAATTAGAGTTCAAAAATCGGAAGAAATAGAATGCATCCATCTATGTGTAATGCTCTCCATGTTATACTCACAACTGCCGATAAATCTCCAAACAGATTATTTCGTATTCCATATCAGCTCCTGAATCTACTCGACAAATGCGATACTTCCATCACCACACCAGCCAACCACCCAACCAATCGCCATCGTTACACCAGCCTGCACCTTCCCGCCGCATACTTGCATACACCCATGCACCCACGCACCCGCCTTCCCCATTCACCAAACTGTTGCATATCGTAAGATCTGGAACATTTTGACTACTGCAAGACTAGCATTCATCGACATACTCTATCCATCCAATCACACTTCTCTGAGAGATGAAATACAAACGCTCAAGATCCAGACGTCTCGCTTGAGGATTATCGGATAATCCGATAGGTTTTGAGTGTTGGTGTCTCATTTGATAGATGGATGTACTCGGATAAATACATACATATGTGTGGATTTCGCCGTGATTATATGGATGAGAAAAGCCACGGTGATCGAAGGCGAAAATCAGATGTGCAACAATTGGGTTTGATCAGACGGGAGCGATGAGAAGCGGAGGCATGCAGGAGGCTGTGATCATGTGAATGTTCTATCATGTGAGGAGGCGTGAGTGTGCTGCCCTTTTCATTTTGAAATTTGGCAGTGTGTTAACGGTACGGTTTGGGGAACTGCATTAAGCCGTCTAGTGATGGCAGGATGAACTGGCTCGATTTCTGTACACATTGAAATGTTTTCAGTCTTACTTTGCTATTGTTTCGGGGTATGTTGTACAATATTGCAAGCATACCCACCAGTAATTTGCCCACTTAGCTTAAGAACCTTACACATGTCAATCGTTTGTTTTGGTTTCCACAGGAGATGAAGACCTACTTGGTATACTTTGGTAAGCAGAAATTGACGAGTGTCATCTAAGACGCAAGCAACTTACACTAGCTGACAAACCGATGTGTAAACTTGGTGAGCCATCAGTGCAAAATGACAAGATTGGCTAGGAATCCTCTACCTTTGAAAATGCAACATTTTATCTGAGAGTGTGTGTAGGTTCTGGGAAGTGTTTAGATGAAGTGCATCTATTTTTACTAGCATTAACAAGAAGTTGTTTCATATGCTCGTTACGGGAACTTCGAACAATACTAAAGTCTCTTTACCTCTTGGAAATGTCGAATCACGAGGAAAGCGTCGTTTGTGTCTTTCCAATCGAGCTAAACTTCATGATTAGATTGGTATGCCATTCGTCCTTGTATCAAAACTTGACGCAATGAAGGAGCGACGCTCTGGATTGTTAAATTGTAGACGATCTCTATCCGGATTACGAAGGATCCTGAAGATCGAAACATCATCATCATAGATATACAAAGCCCTACGATCATATGGCTCGAAGAAACTTTCTATGAAAAAGCAAGGGTTTGAGACAATGCATTTTTTCAACTGGACGTTCGTTATAGATGTGTTCTCCAGCAAGTGTATATCCAATTACCGAAGGAATACTCCCAATCATCAATATACAAGTGAAGCCTTAATAAAAGGAAAGCGAGTACTCGACTGCATATTCTCCATACCAAACGCGACAGAAAAGTTATCCGATCATTCTTGAGGTATGAGAGATGGATAACATGGAAAGCCGAAGGACACAAGCGACTAAAACGCATACGAGTGAACTTCTCGCCGACAACAATCGTTGTCGCTGCTGACCACTGCTATTACTAGAGTGTGGACTTTCAAACTCCTCCAGACACTCTGTAGGAAATAACCATCCCGCATGCTTCTTGATCCATATCTCCAATCGCTTCAATCTCATTCATACAACTCATCACTCCTAGCTTCCGATTACAATATCTCGACAGAAAGCTTCTAGCACACAAAAATGCACAAGCGATCCAGAGATACCCCAGAAAGCCCTCTCTCATCATACTACTCCAAGCGTATTTCAATATCCACGCATTGTCAGATAGTTATATCCTCACACAAGCGTGCATTAGAGACGAATCAAGAGATCCGCATAATCGCCGCCGTGACATCGACGTATACAGATGTACATCAAGCAGACCGTTCCCATACCATTGATCTAGCTCTCCAACGACCTGCCATGTCACAATCCCCAACCAACCTTTCTAGCCAGCGCATATTCTGATTCTACAACACCGAGCTGCACACAGCTAAAGATTGGAAGACTTGCAGAAGTCTCGTGTAACGTTACAGTCGTCAATACGAGCAATGAATGGCACGCCAGTTACCACCCTTCCCAGCACAAACATTGTAAGAACACACTATACTCCAGCAACGCAAAGAACCCGATTTACATCCAGAACCACTCCAACTCCAAGCGTATCCCGTATCCCGTACCTACTCGTACGATAGATGCACCCATCCACGCAAGCCGTGCGTATACGAAAAATGCGGTTCTCGCATCCGGGGTTTTCACGTACTCACGTACCCAACCCACGACTCCCCGGCTGCCTCTCACACGAAGCGGCGGGCGAAGCCCAGAAAAGAAAAAAAAAGTTCTCGATGCACCATGCGCCAGACACGAGGGACGGCGCGCTTTGATAATCCGCGAAGGAAGGCTTGGCTCGCAACGTCCATGCAGAGTAATCACATAACATCACGTAAATTTTTGGCGTCCAGGCTTTTTCCCATGCGCATTTTCGTATATCGGTCGGTATAGGCGAGCACATTACATATTTCAGCTGTCGATAATCTGTTAAGCCGTGCCCGGAAAAATCCACCTGGCACGACTTCCGGAAGATCCCCGCTGCAGATATACGAAGATGATGGCATTCTCATTGGCCGTGACCGATTCCAGGCATTCAGGCTGTTTGGCTGAAGAAATTTCGATCTTCGTGTTGTCAATGTGCCCCTCTGTCATCATATCCACCTTACAGGCTATGATATTGTGTGAATCAGGAACTACTCATGTACTACTAATACTCGTCTACTTTCCCATTGCTAAATCAATATCCCAACGATTGTGTGACTCAAAAGACAATTCATCTCACTCAAACTCTCACAGTCATCAAAATGTTAACAAAATTCACCGCCCCCCTGATATTACTCTTCCTACGTACAGCGATATGTACGCCCCTCACCCCCCATCTCCAAACTCGTCAATCCGTCACCCCACCACCAGAATGCGACGTCATACCTACCTGGGAGGTGACAGATTTCTTCTGGTTCAACTCCACGCATAATTTAGATTGTGTGAACCAGGTGAACGTTCGTAAGTACCTACTTATCTACATCTCGTTCCCATACTCTCTCCAAATCATTCTCTATAGAATTCCAGCTAAGTACCTCTCCAGCCAACGTATGTTTCAACGCCACCTCTGACGGCCTCATACCCTGTGACGGCAATCTCGATACCTGTGACAGATGCGACTTAAACGCCTGTCTCACTGGTCTTCCCGGGCAACCCGCTGGTTTCGGCCCTCCAGACGATATTAAAATCGGCATCAACACTCCTGGCGAATACAACCAATGTGAGCAAACCAACCCAGCTGGATTCCGTCGTTACGACGTCGGCAATGGAATTGTCTTCTGTGCAGGAGTAGCGTATCGAGTTTCCTTCATCGGCGATAGCAATCCCCATAGTGACGGTTCGCCAAACAAAGGAACGATTTATTATGAGCCGAACTACGAGTGGACTTGTACGAATGGAAGCGTTATTAAGGGGTATGGGAATATAGAGTTTGATATGGATTGTTCATATGATTCGGGATATAATGCAACTTGTGTTATCCCTGAAGGGGCTAATCGTGTTATTCCCCTCTTATCCTATACAATCACTTAGATCATTAGCTTTATGGAATTAATTTTTCCAACAGAAAGAAGAGGGTCAATATCGTGTCGAATATATAGTCTAGAGATTGTCAATCCACCCCGCGTTAGCCTCAAAAAAATAATTTGCTGTTCGCGAGAGGTATTCATCGGATATCAAGATCGGGCTTGGAATAGATGAATATAAAATTTGTCCTATTTCCCTTTTAAATTAATATCTATACCGTTTCACAGCAAATGCCATATACCTAAAGGTCAAAAAGCTGTCTAATATCTCTCATGGTATCATCTGGATTCTTCACACTGTGACCAATTGTCCTTGGGTCCTCATAAATCTCGTAATCGTTTCCTCCCTTGTATGTCTTATCTCCAAAGAAATGAATAGTGGTGTATTCAATACCACCTGGGCGCTTTGCGTCATTCTCAAGATGTTGGAGACAGTACGTCTTATCCCAACCAGTAGGGAAGACATCGAAAGAAATTTGACCACCAATTGAGTAACTGTGTCGCAAGTTATTAGTCTAGCCCATCATTGATTTTCCAAGCGATCAAAAAACTCACGTCAAGTCCAGACCAGTGAACTTTTCCTTCAAGGCCTCGATGAATTTCTCTCTGATATGATGTTCCTTATCATAGACCTCATACTCATTTCTCTCCACAACACTCGCATTTCTACCAATTGGGCTAACATTGATCATGCCATTTCTGAATTCGATAAATGTTCCTCTCTTCACTGGAATATCCAAATCCGCAACATAATGCAAGATAAATCTGACCAACTCTTTGTATTGAGACTCCCCGATCCATTTGATGAAGCTATTCGATTGAAGGGGAACACCGCTCTTGAAAGCTGTGAGACCGTTTTCGGCGAAGCAGAAATCGAAGATGGAGGTAACGGGGATCTCAGCGGTGCCGAGTTGTTCTTGTTGCTTGGCCATGTCGCTGCCACCTACATAACCGATGGCGCATTTTTGGCGGAGGGCGGCAAGGAGATTGAGCATTTCTGCGGAGGCAGACTATAGTTTTGATTGTTAGTTGAGGCATAGTGAAAGGTGTTGAGAAGTTGGGAGCGACATACTAGCCGCGCAGGAGAGAGAGTTCCATCAACATCGAAAAGACAGATGGTGTTTTTGATGGGTCGCTCTGCGAGAGGGGGGAAACTGGCAATTATGGCGTCTGTCATTTTGAAATATTTTGTTTGAAGGTATAATTAAAAAACGAACGAGAGAAGTTAAATTGGAAGGAAGTGAAGGATTGAGTTTAGAAAGTTGACACTTTGGCGGTCTGGCTGTTTTACTAGACGGGGGAATGAGGGGCATAGCCTGACAGGGATATAAGCTGATTAAGATATTGATCTAGCGAGAACCCTTGGCTCCACCACTCGAGTATTATCATTTACTATCGTTTGCTCTACACGAGTAGACATTCTCGAGACATCTAAAGATCAGTTCACAATTTAGTTGTACACATCTTGAAGAGATCTTGTGAGTATGCTTCTGAAACTCAAGATTTCTTTCCGACGGTATTCGATTCTAAAAGCTTTTGAAGTAAATAGTGAATACAATACAGTACAAACGACAACCTCCATTCGACTATCGTCCCCATCCAGTGATCTAATCAATCTCCCGAGGTCTCTACAGACATCAAATGTTTCTCTCGATATACCTCTCAAAGGCGATGATTTCATTCCGATTTTGCATGGCTAGTACTTAGTTCATGACATTAGAAGCAAACATACACAAAAGTGTATTCCATAGGACTGTGTTATTCAGCTACCCAGTAAAATATCGCTTCCCAACTACTCCCTCTTTATATGCTACAAAATCAACAAATAAGGCAGTCCAATATAATATATCAAGATTGCAATCGTCACGAGAGTATCTCATTAACTGCACCGCGTTTCTGATACCTCTCTTGCATATTGCAAATCGCATACCGATCCAATCCTTCCTCTTCCTCATTATCTGCCAAACTCTAAACTTGGTACAATAACAGGGCCATATTTAGTAGGTGGGCTGAATCCTCCATCCCCTTGCACCACAAAATCAACAGCCAGACTCAACTTTGCCAGCCCAGCATTTCCACTGTGCATACTTCCATTTGCACTCATGCCACCCATCATTGAATCTGGATCGAAAGCAACAAACGCTACGTAATTTCTCCTTCCCATCAGCTTCTTCATATCTCGTGGTCCCCCATTGGTGTCTGTCTGGAATATCTCCATCATGTCTTCTTTGGTATCGCTGACTTGGTTTGTTGTTTTGACACCATTTTGAGGAACGTAAAGTGGTTTGTTGTTGTGGAGCATTTTGAGAACATATGATGGAGGCGGAGCAGCGACAACTGCAGATGCGATGATTTGATACATGGTTTTGTGGTCAGAGGGGTGAGAAGGATCGTGGACAAGTCCTGCACCGCAACAATTTACGTCTATGAACGAGTCAGCAATTTGCACTTCTGTAAAAGATGCATAGATAACTTACCGCCAGATAGGAATGTCATCCTAATACCCTTCTGATGAGCAATTCCTTGCAAAGTCCGTATTAGATATGTTCGCTCCAAATCTTTACTCTCGTGTGTCCACATATCTCTCAACTCATCTGCAATATCAATATCACCAAATGTATTGAGCACGCCTCCCATCAAACCCGACTTGCCAACTGCCTTCTTAACATGAGAAAAGCCAGTTGCCACGGCTTCTTTACCTCCCACTACTCCAGCCACGGAACTTGTGACTTTTCCGAGTAGGTTATACGTGCTGTTCACAGCTTTCTTACCCGTGGCCATGGTATGTGCGAGACTTTCTACGGCTTCAAGTCGTGGATATACCACAGGAACTGATATCATCCATATGCAGTGTTGTACACTCGGAGGTAAAGTGGCTACTTTAGGGAAGATGCCTTGATAGGTAGGACCAGCAAGAACTTGGCGTTGAGTGCGTTCTGATCGACAATCTGGGCCTACCACAACGACGGAAGGTCCTAGATATTTGACAAAGTGCCAGCCAGTTCCGGTAATTGTAAATAAATCGATATCAGTGCTAACATTTCGAAGAATGTCAACGGTGGTGTGGTGCTGAAAGAGGAGATACATCTCAATACCGATACGACCAATGTTTTTGAACATGTTGGAATTTTGCATGTATTCTGGGTAAGAGCCATAGCCATCAAAACTTGAAAGTGTTAGTGACAGTCAAAGTGAAGAAACGCATTGTCGAAAACTTACATGTCATGGTCATCGATCTGTAGTATGTGAGGGATTTGAGCAAATGCCTCCCTTAAGTATGGTTGATCAAAATGACTAGTATAGTAATGGAAGTAAGCATGCGAGACATCCTCCTCATGTCTCGCTGTCCATGCCGCACTTCTTCGATTTTCTTTGCCACTCATAGCAAGCCATTGCTTCAGCAAAGGAACTTCCTTCCATAGCCTATCACCATAGATTTGATCACCTAAACCCAACTGCACGTGGAAACCACCACATTCAACGTTCTTCTGCAAAATGTCTTTCCACATAAAACCAATACCGCCAAGTTTTGAACGCTCGTTGACGGTAGTATTCATAGCAAAATCATTACCAGAATGCGCAATAAATCTCCAATTAGTCTCGAAACGTCCAGCTACCAAAAATTCATATCGCGTACAACCCAGATGCGAAGTTATGGCATAGGTCCATTTGTCACCTGGACCTTCTCCCATCTTCAAATCTACATCATAGCGATAGAAGACCCATCTTTGATGCGTATAGATTGGGTTTGGTTTGAGTTGCCTGGGATTCGGCGACAGATCGACACTTTGATGGATATGAATAGTTGGTGGTTGTGGAGCATCTGTCACGAGCATAATTGTACCCAACCATACACCATTTTCCATATCCATATTCACGTATCGCAGATAAGGACCAAAATACACGCCATTCGTGGGAGCAACTTTATACATGTCAACCCCTGCGGTGGGAGGCGGCCCGGAAAATCCTGCAGTAGTTGGCGTTCCTGACGCCATACTCATAATACTCTCTGCATAGCCCGGGGTGTGTGGAGGAAATCCTGGTGAGCCAATAAAGCCAGGCGAGGCCATTCCTTGAAAGCCAGGTGATGCAAGAGATTGTTTGTTGAACATGCTCAAGCCCGGAGACGCCAAAGGGTTTCCATATCCAGCATAGGTTGATTGTACTGGTGAAAGCGGAACATCATTCAATGGAGTAGGGCCCTTGGGAAATTCCCATTGAGTTGCTTGAGTAGGAAGATGAATGTAATAATACTGACCAGAGTTCTGGTCGAGATGAGCAATCCAGCCCTCTGGGAGCGGTGGTGGAGATGACGGACCAGCGCCTTGAAAAGGAGAAATATTGACAGGCTGAGCTGATGGGCCAGCTTCAGTAGGCTGTTGGTGTGGAATTTGTTCCTGTCGTGGCTCGTTTGCAAATGCAGGGTGGTCAGGATTATTTGCGGGCGTTGCTAATGGCGGTGCAATATTTGGTTTTGGCGTAGTATCTATGGCAGCAGGTGGATTGGTACGCTGTTGTTTCTCAACTGGGTACGCTTGTGAATTATTGGCACCAGGAGTCACACTAGAATAAGCTGGCGGTGGCTCTTCAGCAGACATTTGCATGCGCTGAAAGTCCTGTTCCAGAGTATTGGCTGGTGGCGCCGAACCTTGTCTTTGGGGCCGATTGACAGCGGGTGGAGGCGACGATGGAGTGATTTCATTCAAGCCTTGATATACTCTAGGTGGGCCATGCGGTGCATTCTCTGGAGACTCTGTTGGAGTCCAAGGTCTGGCGGGAGGCGATTGTGGCATTTGTGGAACAGGAGGCGGCGCATATTGATTAGCTCGCTGAGCAGCAGCGGCATTTTGCGCCTGTAAACTACTTAAAGTCGCAGCACCTGCAATTCCAGATGCAGCATATCGCGCTTCGATGCCACCACCTCCAAGTTCGCTTGGTGGCTCGATAGGAGTTTCTGGGGGAGGTGGGGATCCTCTATTCGCTCTAGTAGTAGAGGTTGAAGCCGTG